TATCCTCGCCGCTGTTGTCGCTAAAAACAGTAATTTATCTTCACTCTGATGTATTTCATCTTTTGTTATACCCAATAGATATATTTCGGGGGAGAATGGAATTCTAATCTTCATTATTAGTTGTAATTTTTCTTGCACTGCTTTCCAGAATCTTTTTGCTTTTTGGCAGTGCCACCACATATGGTAGTACGTGCCTGTTGTTTCCCTGCATTTCCAGCATTTTGTGTTTACGTTTTTATATAGTTTACCCAACTTCTGAGGTGTTAAGTGCCACCTATAGAATAGTTTAAGCCAATTTTCCTTTAGGTCATAGGCTTTTGTATATTTTAATTTCTTTTTCCATATATTTTCCCATTCCTCCAGATTAATTGGTCTTCCTATATTGCTAGCCCATTTTACCATACAATCTTTTATTCTCTCTTCTTCCGTGCTCCATTCTAATAGCTTTTTGTATATAGAGGATATTGTTTTTTTCTTGCCTTTTACGATTTTATCCCAGATATTTTCTTCTTGCATAAAGCCAATTTTTTTGTCCATCATAAAATATTCGTTTAGTTGTCTGTATTGCAGCCACGTTACATTTGGGTATAGTTTCTTTACTTCATCTTGGTTTTTTAAATGTATCTCCTGATTCCTTTTTTCTATGATTGTTCTATAGCAAGGCCACTTTATCCACCCCAACTCTCTTCTTTGACAAGCCTCAAGGGGTGATACCCATAATGGAGTTTTATTATACATTCTTTCTTTATACTTTTCCCACGTTTTTATAATTGCGGACCTGGTAAAGTGATTTCCAAAGCCCTTTTCTATTTTTCTTCTCCCGTACCAAATATATGAGTGCCACCCTTTTCTGAGATTGTGGCCTTCCAAATTCAACTGTTTTTCATTTTCTAACCTAATCCAGTCGAGTGCCCATGTTATTGCGCATGCTTCAGCATAGATCCCTAGATCCGGCATAGCCAATCCCCCTCTATTTTTTTCATCTGTTATGTTTTTAAAATTTATTCTGCTTCTCTTATTTTGCCAAATGAATTTCCTTATGTCTTTGTTCCACTGATTTAGTCCTTTCTTAGTTCTTATAATTGGTAAATTTTGAAATAAAAATAACATTTTTGGTAATACATTCATCTTTATGCAGGCTATTCTGCCTAATATTGATAGCTTTAAATTTTTCCATTTATCCAGATCTCGTTTTATTTCGTTCCATTTTATTGCATAGTTATTTTGAAGCAATTGTGCATTATTTGGTGAAATTACAATTCCCAGGTACTTTATTTTTGATGCTATTTTAATATTCCATTTTTTCACAATTGTAGCCAAATTCTTTTTGGGAATATTCTTTGTTATTGCTTCTGTTTTGTCCATATTCAATTTAAAACCCGCCACCTTCCCAAATTTCTCTATTGTTTCAAACCATTTTTCTAGTTTTGTGGATGGGTCCTCAACTATGCAAATCACGTCATCAACAAACACCCTGCATTTGTATGTTTGTCCTCTAATTGTGGCTCCTTTCAATTCTTTGTTTCTCCTTATTTCATTCAATAAGATCTCCATTGTTAATATGAAGATCAGGGGCGAAAGTGGGCAACCCTGTCTGGTTCCTTTATTTATTTCAATTTTTTTAGACTCCTGGCCGTTTACTATTATTTTTGCTTGTTGGTTTTTATAAATAGCTTCAATTGAATTTGAAAAGTAGTAGCCAATATCCATCTCTTTCAATAATAATTTAAAGAAATCCCAATTGATCTGATCAAAAGCCTTTTCGGCGTCCAAGGCCAGGAACATAACTTCCTTTTGGATGTTTTTATCGTAATAATCAATCAGATTTATAATTGTTCTCACATTCTCCCGCTGATGTCGGTTTGGTAAAAATCCCGTTTGTTCTTCTTTTATCCAATTTGTTAGAAATTTCTTAAGCCTCTCTGCCAATATGCTACTAAAAATTTTGTAGTCCAAATTGAGTAAAGAAATTGGTCTATAATTTTTAAGTTGTTCGGGGTCTTTTTTCTCCTTCGGGATAATATGGATGTTGGCTTGTTTCCAACTTTCTGGTATTTCCTTCCTCTCTCTTATCTCATTTAACGTTTTTTTTAGAAATGGCATAATTTCTTCCATCGTTGTTTTGTAATAGATCGCACTCAATCCATCTGGGCCGGGGGCCTTTTTTGTCTTTAAGCTTTTTATTGCAAATTTAATTTCCTCTTCCGAAAATTCTTTGTTTAATGCTTCTCTGTCCTCTTCTGATATTTTGCTAATTTTCTTGTCTCCTAGATATTGGGTAATCTTCTCCTTCTTTATTTGGTCGTCTTGATATAATTTCTTGTAATATTTTGCAAACTGGTCTCTTATTTCTTCTTCCGTTGTATAAATCTTTTCTTTCTCCTTGATTTTTACTATGTATTTTGATTCTCTCTTTTCTAATATTCTTCTCGCCAACCATCTTCCTGGCTTATTCGCATTTTGAAAGTGGTCCGCTTTTATAAGTTTTAGTTCTTTAGCTCTTTCCTCCATTTCTATATGTTCTCTTCTCTTTTGCAATAAGGTCAGCTTGTGAGCTGTTTCCTTATTTTTCGGATTTCTTTTCAGTTCTTCCTCTTTTTCCTGAATTTCCTCCATTATTTCTTTTATTTTCTTTCTCTTTTCTTTGTTCCATCTGGCCTTTTGCTGGATAAAGTGACCTCGTATAACGGCTTTACTTGCTTCCCATACTATAAATGTATCTACCTCTTGTGTATCATTATTTTTGAAATATTCTTTTATGGTTGCTTTACACTTTTCTACATCTTCTTTTTTCCTTAGTAAATTGTCTTCTAGTTTCCACCTCCACACTCTTTCATCTTCCTTAATCTCTAATTCAATGGGGCAATGGTCAGAATCTGTCCTGGGCGCAATTTTTATTTTTTTTATTTTTAGGATAAGTGAGGACGATGCCCATATCATATCGATTCTCGACCAGCTCTTGTGCCTGGCCGAGAAGAAGGTATAGTCTTGTTTAAAGCCGTTCTTCATTCTCCAGGTGTCTTCCATTTTTAGGTCTCTCATCATGTTTATAAAGTGTTTTGGTAGGGTACCTGTATTACCTTTTAGGCTACTTTTTTGTTTTTTAGTTTTGTCTAAATTTTTATCTGTTACTCCATTAAAGTCACCCATTATTATTATTTTATCGAACACTTGTTTAACTATATTTGCTTCTAACTGCTTCACAAATTTGGATTTTGCATCATTCGGCGCGTATATATTACAAATTAAGATTTTCGAATTTTTCCAATTGATCATTACCCCTACCATTCTACCTTCCTGATCTTTGAAGGCTAATTCGGCTTCTATATTATTTGTAATGTATGTGGCTACTCCTCTTTTTTTTTCTATAGCAGATGAGTAAAAGATGAGTAAAAGATGAGTAAAAGTAAAAGATGAGTAAAAAAAATATCTACTTTGAACAGGGTTATCTAAGTCCACACTGCCATATATTCCAGTTCAAAGCAGAAAATTTGGGATTTTTTTCAGTTGTGTGGGAGGGGCCATAGTGTCTTTGCTTCTCTTTTATTTTATGCACTTGTACTCAATTTTGGAGCAATAAAAGAAAATATAAACTCTGCTCTCCCCATTTTATAATACTTATTACCCACCCGAAAAGGCTGAGCTATAGCAACGAGCAATTCAAATGGCACTGAATATTCACTTCCATATTTCTCAGAATATTGATCCAGCTTTGAATTTTACATCAATTTGCGCACCTGTTCAGAAATGAATGATGATACTTTTGCACATAAGTTTTGTGAAGTCTGGATTTTATAGTGAAAATATTGGAATGTAATACTATGGAACTATTGACAACAGTATAATGAAAGATAAACTTTTCTATAAAAATATCCTGTGCTATAGTTTTCCCAATTTATAAGGAGTACTGTGATGATCTCTAGTCCTGCTGGCCTCAGTACTGTTGGGTGTGGAGTAGCTATTTGCTTGTCTAAAGTTGGCAGGGGGAAAATAAACAAGTTCCTCAAAACAGGGATTTCAGCACAGGCAGTCCCCGAGTTACAAACATCCGACTTACAAACTACTCATAGTTAGGAACGGGGATGAGACAACAGAAATTGAGAGAAACCTACCCCTAGGAAGGAAGAATTACTCCTGAAAGAGTTATAATGGGGAAAAGGTATCACCAATCCTTGTTTCTACAACAAGCCATTTTTAAAAAAATCCAGTTATCACAAGGACAGAAAGTGAGGTGACATCTTTTGAACAGGGCTCAGACAGCAAAAAATCACGCCAGGGGTGCTGTCCAAAGCTTGCTATTATATATAGAGGGGTGTGTGTATGGCTGGCACTACACTTCAAAAATGCAGCTGTTCTGACTTACAAACAAATTCAATAACAAACCTACAGAATTTATCTTGTTCATAACTTGGGGACTACCTGTAATTTTCCTTGTTGCATTATGGAAGCCTGATTGGAGTTTTGGTTATTATCTGTGTGGTATTAGCAGAGTTTAATATGGAGTTGGAGGGTTGGGCTGCATTTACCACAGACATGTAGGTTTGTCTGGGGAGGTTTAATGTAATTCAAATATAGTTGTAGGACACATTTTTGTATAGGAAAGCTTGGCAGTGGATGGGCAGGAAGATCTCTTGTGTCCTTGATCTGGCCTTCTAGGAGTAGGGAAATTGTGCCTGCCTTTTCCCTTTCGTCACACACCCATTGCTGCTATTATTTTCCTTCATTTTCTTGTAGGCTGCATATGAATATTTTCCTCCAGAGTGATTTATTCAGGAAGGGGAACACGTTGTGCAGTATTGGCATATGTAATTGTAGTTTTTGTGCCTATATTCAGAACTTCGTGTGTTTCATCATGGTATTTTTTTCTTTCCTTCTGCCATCTAGTATACTTAGCATTTGTATGTGTATGTTGCACTTCAAAAAATATAATGAGTGCTGAGAGTGAAAGGATTGAGTGGATGTGAAGAAAATGTAATGGACTACTTCTCTCTTGCTTTTAGGTCTCTTGGAGACAGGATGGATGATCAGAAATCACCTGGTGAGGACAAAGACTCTGACACACCAGGTGAGTGCTCTCAATTTGACCACTCCTTCTGATGAAGTCACTTGGGAATCTATGTACAATAATGCAGTTCAACAGAGAGCAGAGGATGCCATCTACAAAATCTGTAGGGTGCTGGCCTTCTGAGGGCTGGCCTAAGACGTTTTCCCTCTTTGGGTGATGGACAAGATGGCACTCAACGAGAACAAATAACATCTTCCCATATAGAAGGTTAATAATGAATCAGCCGAACCCCATAAATCGTTGAATTAGACTGTTTAACTAGTAGCAGTGTGCAATTTGGTTAAACCGTATGCCTTTTTCGTTGTCCAGATTTCGTTCCCCACCCCCCAATCCGTTTTTCAGGAGGGACCTGGCAGCCCAAAGATCCGTTTGAGCTCCGGGAAGATCTGGCCCATTGGTGGCAATGGGGAAACTTCTGAGGCTCCCCTTTACATCATTTTTTAGGCATCAGTATTAAGAAACCACCTTTTATTTTTATTATTTATTTAAAACTTTTATATCCAGATCTTCTCTACCTCGGTAGAGGGACTCAGACCGGCTTTTCTGGTGTCCTTTCCTCTAATATCCATCTAGACCTGGCTTAAGGCATCAGACTTAAGAAACCACATTTTCTGGGGTTGGCTCCCCTTATATCCTTCAACTAGACCTGGGGAAGAATTAAATTGAATTCTCCCTGTGGGGACTCAATGGACTCAGGCTATCCCCTCCCTTCAGTAAACCACCCCAATATTTAAATAAACACCCCAATGCCTTTTCACAGCCCCCCAAACACATGCCCACCCTCACTTCCGTAGCGAATTTGGGGGGGGGGGGGATGAAAGATATTTAAACTAAGAAAACTAAATGAAGTTGCCAAAGGAAATGATTGGAATTGAGTCCAAAAGCAAGCTAAGTGATCCTAAGAGCAGCAAAGGCACTGAGATAGAACACTGAACTAGCTAGCACATGAGTGGCTTTCTTTTTCTGATTGGCTCAGGCAAGCAGCAGGGCTTACAGCCTTACAGGGAAGCCCCTGTGTGCACGCTCAGCTGCCTCTCCCACTCAATTTGTAGCTGAAAGAAATGGAAAGCAGCCGTTTTCAGCAGCCATGTGGTTTGTTGCACCGAAAAAATTTGGCGGCAGTGCCCGTGCCATTATGGCTGGCTGAAACAGCCAGAGCCCGTTTTGAAAAACAGATCTTTACCAACCAGTTCAGTATTCTTGTGGACTGAGACTCCTACCCAGTTGCCATACCCAGGTCCTGACAGACATTTATTTGCAGTGGCAGTGGAGGCAGTAGATGGAATTCTGTCCTCAGAGGATCATGGGAGTGTGGAAACGGACAACCTGAAACCACCAGAAAAGGGCCTTGTCAAAGAGGAATTGGAAGAAGCAGAAGCCAAAGAAGAGCCACCTGAGAGCTGCAGGTGAGAGATCAGAGGGCTGGGATGGAGTGTGTGATGATGTGGAAGCAAGGAGGAAAAAGGAATTTATACTTGTGCGATCAGGAGACCGTAATGGGATATGGTGGCTTTGGGGAACAAGGACAGGATGTTGCCAAGGGAGAAAAGGTCTTTGCTTCAGGTTTTTTTGGATGGCAGTGCTTGTAGGCGAAAAAGAAAAGACAATTTTTCACTGCTGTTTCTTTTCAGTTTTTTTTAATGTTCTTCCCCTCTTGTGATTGCAATTATTAAATATTTCTTGTTTTTCTCTTCTATTATCTGTTTTTGTCTCCACTGTAAAACCTCAGGCTTTTAAGTGTCCCATACTCTGTTTAAAGAAGTAATCTTGCGAGTGATAAAGTCGTTAAAATGATGCAGACTGGTAAACCTGGGATGACACCCTTCTCTCATGCATTCCTTGTGCTTGGTGCAAATGGCATGTATATCTGGTTTCTGCTTTCATCTCTAGCCATGGAAATCAGAGAAAGGATTTAGGGCAATGTCAGGAGAGTCCTGTGAAAGCAGAATGTACTGTAATAATAGGTTAACTTTTCCAATAGGGTTATCACCCATATCCTGTTTGACTCATTCTTTATTAACAAATTCTCTAGGTTTTTCCAAGTTCTAGCTATTTTGAGTCTTGAGGCACATAACATGAGCAGTATAAAATTTTTATTTACTAAATTCTTAATCTTATTCTTTCAAATACAAAAATAATTAGCAGAGTATACCTGAAATATATTACTCCCCCCACTGTTTGACTTATTCATGATAGAACTTAATCCCAGAATCTCCATACTTTAAGGCACGTTAGCCACATGTGGCTCCAGTTTCCTCTTTCTCCACACTTTCTACAACAGTTTAGAGATTCCATTATTAACATACCTAAAACATTATACAAACCCTCTGGCTCAGTCTTAAACACTTTCCTCTTTAAAAACCTACTTGAATAAAAAGTTTTAGATGCTACCATAAAATATGGAGAGGTCTCCATCTAGCCTCTTTGTCATGCCGTGAGCCATGGCTTGGCTTTGCATTACCAAGGAGATCCTGAGAACCAGCTGTGCATACTACATGGACCATGTGCAGAGAGCTATGTTTGTGTGTAGGAAAAAACTATGGCATACTAATTTTACCATTGTGCACCAGATTATGACACAGCAGTGTGAGGCCTTGTATACCGTTTCAGGAATAATTGTGAACAGATTAAAAAAAGGTTCTGGACCACTCAAAATCTTATTTATGGTTCTTTGGTCAGTCGCAATAAATTTATGAAAACACCTTGGCCTTTTAATATTAAAAAATAGACTAATGCTGCTATTTCTCATTTTTCTAAAGCTGAGTTAATCATTGTTAGCTCATTAGCTAGAAATCTTACTCTAGCTAGATGAAGAAGATTGGCTAGTATTACATTCTTAAGGAGTGTACATCATAGCTACATGAAGGCTAACAGTGAATTCAAATGCCCTAGAAATGTAAGGGTGTGGATCCCTTTCTGGTAACCAGTTCAGAATGGCTCTCTGAAAAACTGTCGGATTCTATCTCTTTAACATCTCTCCTTCATCATCATGGATTGGGTGAGGCTTTTGTGTTCCCTGCACTGACAAGCTGTTTCTCTTTTTCACCCCTTGTCTTCTTCCAGCTCCACACCCAAACGCTGTGCGTTCTGCAACTGCAGCAAGTGGAGCCTACATGGGCAGCGAGAGTTGTTGCGTTTTGATCCTGCTCCTGACTGGGAGGAAGACCTTCCTGATTTAGCAGAAGGAAGGCAGCCGGGCTCTTCAGTAGAGACTGAAAATGATGATCTGACCCTGATTGGCTTTGCAGATGGGGTGTCAGTACGGGAAGTGTTTGAGCCGACAGGTGAGTACTTGACACAGAAGAGCAGGACCTGGCTTAGCCGGCTACTCCAGTGTTGGGCTTTGACCAGCAGCTCCCTTACTCCTTGGCCAGTGTGTCCACATCACCTTTATGTCATGTTCTGAGGTGCTGTGAGGCATCACCAGTAAAGTAGCAAGTGAAAGCCCTCCAGATTGACTGGCTTCTTTTTGAACTATATATCACATCTCTTATCATATGGGTTTTGGTTAAGATAAATCTAGGAAAATGGAGGTGATATCTTCAACCTTTGGCTTCTACTTTTTAAAGTTCTACATTGGACTTGTGTGAAAAACAAGATTCCTCAGCATGTATTTTCAGCTCTAAAATTGAGCTTTGTGTTCTCTTTGTCACAAACACACAGACACACACACACACACATGCACTCCAATTCCAGATTTCTCTCAAACTTTCTTGGGTGTCCTGTTTAGATAGGTGTGTACATCTATGAAGGGATGTCTGTCCTTGTGGAATAATTGAAAGTCAGAAACCCTTGTTTATCTGCTTATAGAAGTGCATATCTAACCCTTCAGATATTGATGAATTCCTACTTTCATAATCTTTCATCATTGGCCAGGCTATGAAATATGGGGCTAATGGGACTGCAGTTCAGTAATGCCTGGATGTCCACAAGTTCCTAAAATATTTTAAATTCACCAGTGGCTCCTAGAGTATCTAGAATTTGATTCCTCTTTTTCTGTTATGTCACGTTGTGCTTGCCAAAATCTGTACTTGAAGCTATCTGTTTCTCCTTCTTAGTTTAACACAATGGTGGTTCTCACCCTGTGGGTCCCCAGATGTTTTGGCCTTTAACTCCTAGAAATCCTAACAGCTGGTAAACTAGCTGGCATTTTAGGGAGTTGTAGGCCAAAACACCTGGGGACCCACAGGTTGAGATCCACTGGTTTAACACTTATTGTCCTAAATAATTTTTCTTTGGCTTTCTTTGTCATGGTTTACATTTCCTTATAGGGCACTTTTGGGCTCATCACTGGTGTGTGGTTTGGTCAGCTGGAGTTCTGCGTCCAGAAGGGTCATGGCTGAGCCTTGTGAACAAAGCTGTCATCTCAGGGATTGCACAGGTCTGTCAGATTCAGCTATGCTGGGACATGGGAATGGACTCTTTTTTTCACAGTGTTCAATTAAACTGGGTTGCGTCATAGAGCAACATTTGGATTAAGACTCTCAGAACCAATTGTATTATTTCTAAGAGATAGTGGCATCATTATTACACTAGCCAAACTGTATCAGTAACACTGGTGAATCTGCAAATGTGAAGAGTAACTATTGGTATTCAATAATCGAGTAAGGCATTTTATTTAGCACCACCTTGCCATCTTCCCCAACAGTCCTGCAAACATTGTGAAAACCAAATCTGTATTTGTTTATCTTAGCCCTACTCTCTTTTAACAAACTGGCAGCAGACAAGGAAACTCCAATTTCATTCTCTACCTGCACAAATTGTATCTGAGTTCAAAGCCTTCAGTGATACAGAAACAGAGCCATTTGAAAGCAAATGAAGAGGTCAGGGAGGTGAGGCCATGTATCTACCAAAGTTCAGAGTACAGTATTCAGGCACCATGTTTCTGCCCTCACTAACCACAACGTACAGAAATTATGAAAAATCATAATGAAGAGTGCATGAAAATTGGCTTTGATCGGGGGGGGGGGGGGATGGATGCCCTGCACCAGATTTCATGACGAAATCACTGCCTCGTGAGGTTTTAGGGAGCAGAAAATAACTTTTTTGAAATTATTTTTTCGGGGTTGAGGAAGATATGTATGATGCCAGTAGTCCTTATTTTGTCCATTTTGGTTCTGTACTTTATTAGTATTCAACTGGTACAAGCTAGAAACTTGGAAAGGTAGCTAGTTGGTTGATGTGTAATGTAGTAGCCTTGTGTTGATGCATATTCTAGTTTTAGAGATCTTCTCCTATAGATACACAGCGATGTTGGGTTGCTCAGCACCCGAAAGCAGCCACCTTGCACAGTCTATTATACTGATACACCCTAGCTTCTCAAGCCATTGTTTTCTTCTGATGGAAACTCTACCCTGCCAACATTTGGTTCAGCTTTCTTACCCGTGTAGAGCTGCTTTTCTTTGCAGTTCTCTGAGCTTGGGATGTGTTCCTTACATCTTCCAGAAATGTGAACACTGTAATAGGCGGGGTGCTACCATTCTATGCCACGCGGAGGGGTGCCAGCGCCACTATCACTTCCCTTGTGCGGCAGCCAGTGGCTGCTTCCAGTCCATGAAGAGCTTGAAACTTCTGTGTCCAGAGCACCTAGACCAGGCTATACAAATGGGTAAGTGCTGGCAGTATGCCAAGGACAGCTGACATGGGTCAAGGATTTGATTGTGACTTGTTCAGATTAAAATGGGCTCCCATCTAATGATTCTGTGAATAGCATGGAAATAAGTGGATTTGTTTCCTAGTGGGTAGAGCAGCAGGGGCATGAGGATAAGTTTGACAAGGTTATAATTCTAGGCCTGAGAAAGTTATAAAAAAAGAAATGCTGTTTACTGGGGATGTGTATGTGTGTTTGCGTGTATGTGGCTGGTTTTTGGATCATGTTGCACAGGGAAGAAAGAGCCAAGGCTAATAGGCCGAGAGCAAGGGAGGAATGATGTTTTGTCTTTGGGTTCCAATGTGCCCTTCTTCCGCAGAGGACTCGCGCTGTATGGTGTGTGACACCCCAGGGGAGTTGCGTGATCTTCTCTTCTGCACTAGCTGTGGTCTGCACTACCATGGCACCTGTTTGGAGATCACAGTAACACCACGCAAACGCTCAGGCTGGCAGTGTCACGAATGCAAAGTTTGCCAAACCTGCAGGTGAGTGGAGCAGTAGGTAGAGGGATGGAGAAGGAAAGAGATATTACGTGGGGTATCTCCAGAATAGCCCGATCTTGGGTGTTCCTCAGCTCAGTGGCAAGTCATAGTGTCTCTCCCTTGCAGGTTATCTGGTGAGGACAGCCGAATGCTTGTGTGTGAAGCTTGTGAAAAATGCTACCACACATACTGCTTGAAACCTGCCATTGAAAGTGTCCCTGCAGACTCCTGGAAGTGTAAAGTAAGTCCAACCAAGTGTTATCTGAGCGAAATAGTGCAAAATTCAATGCCTCCTTAACCCAAACTGTGTTCCAGCCCAGCCTGAATTATGTGACCCATCCAAAATTTGCAGATTATGGAAACATTCTTTTCTGTATGCTACTTTGTTTGTAGTAGATGTAGGGTCTGGCAAAGAGGGAGTGATACAGGTTAACTGGCCCATATCCGGAGTACTGAAATTCTCCAAAACCATCCACACTGTTGTATGGAATATAGACATCTTTATTTTTTGATTATTCATTGTACATAAAAGTACTTTTAAGCTTTGTGTTTATGATGTATATGAAACATAAATGAATTTCATGTTTAAAACTTGGAATATCTCATTATGCATATATATGCAAATACGTGTATTTCAAAATCTGAAAAAATTCTAATTCCAAAACATGTCTGATACCAGACACTTTGGTTAAGGGATGCTCATCCTATAGTTGAAATCTTCATTCTAGCCAATGGAGATTCTCTTTCACTTCTCTGGCTTTAGAAGGAGTCCCATCAAGTACCTGCCTACTTGTGAATCAGAGAACTAAAACTTTTTATTATGAATGTGAGACTTTCAGATTTCTGAATTCTAGGCTGGTATGATTTTTCAATGCAATGGGCATAGCTGTATGTATATATGTATGTAAGTATGTATACATAGTAGTCCTCTATATAATTCAAAGGTATGGTGGAAGAGATAGGACCTTACTTGTTAGCTCTGAGTATTTTTTTTCCAGTTCTTCCTATGAGCAGCAGCTAGTTTTTCTTCCTAGGTGGGGCTTCCACATTTTTATATTGATCTTCAAAATACTAAATTGGAAATCTGTGCTCCCTGTCAAGGCAAATCAACCATTTTAATAGTTCTATGCTCATACACAGTGTATCTCAATTATTCGTTTTTAAAAGGATAAGCTAAATTTGATGAGTTACTGATATTCCAGTTCTAAGTATGTTTACTCATATACAAATGCCAGTGAGTTTGTTTGGTTGTACCAGGAAACAAGCATATTTAGAACTGCACACAAAGCCATCCTCAACATACTTACTCCCTTATAAGTCAGTATGAACTTACAACGACGAGTTCGGAAACTTGAATGTGTTTTGTGGTTAACACGTTCCTTTGACAGGGAACTTACATGTATAGTCCTTGCCATTGTTGTTGTCATAGCTTTGACTAGGTTAATAATTTGGCATAGAAAAATATGTCTTGTGTCAACTTTGTGTTACATTAATTTGACATAAACCTATTCTGGGACAAAATGGAGCCATGGGCTCCTATAAAAGGAAAAGGCTCATTTTTTAATTTCTTCAATCTTACAATTTTGGATATTCATTTTTCAATGTGTTATCAGTCCCCCTGCTCCCTCCCCTTATCCAATCAGTGGTTGCTATCCAAACACCTTTGCCAGTGAGATGACTCCTGGCACTCTTAAGAAGGACTCACTCGCTGAATCTTGGAGTCCTGAATGCATATGCATCTGCCTTTCTTCAGAGTTGCCGGGTATGTTCTGACTGTGGCCTCCGTCCATCCGCCTTGGATCCTAGCTGCCAGTGGTACGAGAACTACTCTCTATGTGAAGGATGTCAAGAGCAGCGCTGCAAGGATGCGAACAGTGCTGAGGTCCCTGATGTACAGCACACCCAAGAGTGAGTTCGTTGGATTTGGCCTTCGGTTAGGTGGGCTGTTCATACAAATGATGGCTCATCTTGCAAGGTAGTAATGGTGATTGTTGTTGCGAGATTTCAAGTCGTTTCTGACTTTTGGCAACCTATAGGTGATCTAATCACAGGGGTTTCTTTGCAAGATGTTCAGAGTCAGTTTTCCATTGCCTTCCTCTGAGTATGAGACAGTGTGAGTTGCAAAAGTTCACCCAGTGAGTTTTCATTGTTAATTAGGGATTTGAGCCCTAGATTTCAGAGTTGTAGTCCAGTGCTCAGCCCAGTCCACCATGCTGCCTCTTTGTAAGTTATATGTATTAAAAAAACCCCTCAATTGCCAAAAACCTGCCTCAGTGGAAAGTGCTGCCTTGTCAGCAGAAAGATAGCAGGATGGGGTCCAGTCTAACCTTCCCTGGAAGGTAACTCATAGCCATGAAGTAGACACTACAGATGTTCTTTTTCATGTCTTCATCAAAGGTGTCATTCAAAGTGGTGGAGCAACAAGGCAGGCCTCATTTGCAGGTCTCAATAAGCAAGGTCATATGCACTATTTAAATAGCCTGAACTCGCATTGTTTTAGACAGAGTTTCTCAAACTTTGGGTCCTGACACCAAATGGAGCCCCCTTAGCTCAATGTTGCATTCCTGAAAAAAATGTGCAATAGGAAAAGGTTTCTGATAGCACCTATTTACATGAAACAGTTAACAACAATATGCAGTGTTTACAACAGACTCTGCAGAAAATGCTTCAGCTGTACTCCATAAAAAGGAAAATCATCCTGTTTTGCAAACCTTGCAAATCCAGATTTATTACCAGCAAATGTTTGGTATTATATCTATTTTATATACCTATATACCTGGGGTCACGTCAAAAATTCTCTGGCAGAAAGAGGTCAGAAGTTAAGAAGCCCTGGCTTGTGTTTTATTGGTTGTAATCATCACCTTGAATTATGTCCAGAAACAGGCAAGTGGGAATTGTTTTTCCTGTGGGATCCTATGCATTAAGATGCAGCTAAACAAATTATGATATTAAATAAAAATGCAGTTCAAAGTTCATTGACTGTACTATAGACAAGCCTTCTACCTTAATAAAAGACATTATGAAAGGTACACCCTTGTTTTGTCCAATGTTATTTTCAGATGGAGACACTTATAACAGCGTATCTTGCTTGAGTTGACTGGGCCTTTGCTGTCTGGAAAATCCAATACTGGCTGTCAGAATATTTCACTTTACTTTTGTTGGTTCTTTCTGTTCTGATGGAGGAGAGTGGCCTCCTGGTTTCTTCATTGGTGGCTTCTAGAACAAGCCATTCTTTTGATGTTTGTTAATTGAGATTTACTTCCTTTCATGTAGTACTTCAAAAATGGAGAGGCTGATTCTTCAGTGGGCTATAAAGGATATTCATGTTAAGCCCATGTTCTTACTTCTAAAGTGCATTAAGTGGAGTGGCTCTTCCTGCACCTTTCCACTGAGATGCTGAGACAAGGAAAACTGAGACTTCTACCACCTCCCCAACTTTGTAGGCTCTTATTATGAATAGTGCTATTGGGTGGCATAAAGTTTTTAAGAAGTTTCATATAGAAGTATTGAGATTCAGGTGTCTGGCTGAAGCTCCAGACTGTTTTATTCCTCAGAGTTCACCAGGTGCTCTCAGTGAAACCCCTCACTGCCACTTCTTCTCCCTCCCTACACTCAAACACATACATGTATATGTGCACACAGACAATAAGATGGAAGTAATAATGGTGGCACCGCTCACATGATTCTTATAAGGGTGACTGAATATGTATGCAGAATGCATATGTATTCTCTAGAAATGCTGACCGAGTGCGGCGATCAATCTATGATCTGAAACAGCTTGAGTCAAATGGGGTTGCCTTTCTTGACATACTCTACTTGTTCCCATTCAGGCACATTCACCCATCAAACAGCACCCCTGCAGCAGAGAAGCCGGTGTCTCCTCAGGCACTAGAGGAAGCTTGTGAGGCTAGCGAAGAGCAGCCAGAAAGCAGTGGTGGGCCTTTGAGTCCTCACTCAGAAGATCCAGAGCCATTGGAGAGTGAGGAGAAGCCTGCTGGTGAGTGGTCTTCTCTTTTTATTAAGAACCAGTAGGGACTTCCTTTGGAAAGTACCATATATACTTGTGCATAAGTCAACCTTATGTGGGTCTGGCAAATGATGTCATCAATAAGAAAAATATTGTTTTCTTTCTAAATGCCATAACAGCGGCTTAAATAGTTTATGGCAAGCACCTGGAAAAAAAGTATTATTCCATTTGTAAATGAGTGATTGGCCAAACTGCTGAACTTTGCAGAATTTCATAAATTAACTTGTCTCCTTGAAAATAAAACAATACAGTGCTTTTAAAATAATTGGAAGCCTTTTGCAGAATATAGGTAGAACATTAAAAGACTGGTCCATAATAGTGTTGAGTGATTAAAATACTTGTTAGAAAGAAGAGAAAGATTATGATAAATGTTGTACAATTTGGTCATCTTTGTGAATTTTACTTATATAAATATACATAGGTTGTTAAGAGCTTTCCTAGGACAAAATATTGTGAAACTTTGTCTCAGTGTAGAGTTGGGAAGTTTTCTTTCAAATATGATACAAATGTTTTACTATTATTAGAAAGTGTAAAATTACTACAGTTAATTGGTGGCTTTATATACCAATAGCTATGTTATAATGTGTACATTTTGGAAATAATAATAATTTAAAAATGTCAACCTCATGCGTAAATTGAAGGTTTTGTGGCCAAAGGTATGTATTTCGCTAAGTCAAGGGTAAAAGCACCCTGCAATAAATATATATTTCCTGCTCGTTTTAAAAACACATAAAGGGAACATACTTAGGAAGAGAGGGGAGATCCATTTATTTAAGTGGTTGTAGTGGGATGGGTGGGATAAATTACATTGTTGATCTTAAGAGGTCTACATCAGAAAGGAATATAAATGAGGGAAAAGAATGAAATGATTCCTCACGCAAAGGTGTGGAAGAGAAGAGGAAGGAAAGCTACCTGCCTCTTTTAAGGACCAGAGCAAGAGTAGTGACTAGAAGTAAAGAAGAGAAACTCTTTCCATTGCCCCTCCCTGGGGCACACTGAAGAAGGACAGCCCTCCTTCCTTCTTTGCCTTTTTCAACCTGTGTGGAGTTCAGTAGCAGTTTGAGGTAGCCATTTAGGGTGCTTAAGATGGGACACAATGGCAGAAGCTATTTTTGATATGGACTTACTACATATGCTTCTCAGCAGAAAGACTGTAATGGGCATTTTTCATAGGGACCCTAATAAAAATTGTCACAGTAGTCTCCTCTGCCTCTTGTTCCTATCCCAGCTTTGACTTGTATATATGTCAGCCCAGGCACAAGAGTATGCTGCTGAGATGAAATGGATGAAATGTTCAGAAACTTTAAATGGCTACTATCAAGAACTCTAGCTTGGCAAGCGTTGCTTCTTTGTTGTAATCACACTGTCTCCGATGTGGTTCAACCCCAGTTGTGTAACGTCTAATTCCAGATGTAGACACGCTTTTAGAAGTATCTGATGTGGATCCAGAGGTCCCTGCAGGGCAGGAACAGATGGAGGTGGAGACTCCATTTGAGCCTGAAAAAGCCCCCTCTCCCCCACCTCCTCCTCCAGTTCCACCAGGTGAGTTAATGGGCTGTGATGAACCCAGCATCCATGACTGGGTTAAACCCAAGCCCAGGTCTCGATTGAGATGATGCAAATGTATGACTTTTTATACAGAAGTTACCCGTTGAATTTCAACATAATGACATAGGGTATGGACTCCGGTGGGATCCATGTGTCTGAACCCCCCCCCCCCAAACAGACCAAAGCTGCCCCCTGGGACAACCAACAAATGGGGCAAAGAGGAGAGGAGTGTGGTGTTGTGGCTGAGCACCTTGTTATATTATATATGTTTATAAGAGAGGCTTGGCTTTTAAATTGCTGTTTGTATGTGACACTTTAATGTGCAAACCAATACTATACTGAATTCAACTCCAATATGATCTTCAGCTGTCTTCTTGTAGAATATCTTCACTTCAGTAACTAGACACGAGCCTTTATTATAAGAATTGAACAAAGAAATGTTTATTTATGGATTCTCAGGCACATAGTGTATTGGTTACACAGTATTTCTCTTTATAGTACATCTTGGATATTGTTACTGTTGGCTTTTATTATTATGAATAGATAAACTGTTACTATATAACATTCAGAATGGCTTATCTAATGCAACTCAGTTCAGTAACTTCCTTCATTTTAAAATGTAATTCTTTCTCAGTCTCCTGACTGGGTCACTTAAATCTTGTAGTTCCTTCACCTTGTCAATAGGTTAACTGTAAATTTATTTTTTAAAGAACACTTTTCTCCTCAGTCCCACTGACTGATACTTAAGCACAGATTATCCTTTTATTCACTTCAGTTCTGCCACTGAAAGCACAATATAATACTGGGAATTACTTTCCCCTAGCTCACAGGCTAGATTATACTTCAAAAATGTTTCCTTTAACACTTTAAATATCAAGGCTGAAGACTTTAACTGAGAATAGGAAACTCCTAACTACAGCTCTCACATAGTCAGAGCCACTTTCTCTTTAGCTCACCTGGCTAAAGACTAACTCATATTTTAAAATGTCCACTCTTTTGTTGTTTTGTTTCCCCTCCTAGCTCTCTTGAAATTGATACATTTCTACTGCAGGCTTCGCTACTATGGCAACGCGCCAACCAATCAGCTGTAGCTAAAGCTAGCCTGTGCTTACCATATATCAACAGTAATAAACACATTCAAAACTTACATTATAATTAGATATTCTGTTACACCCCCTTTCCAAATGAAGAAAGCATTTGAAAGGTACTCTTTGAAGACCAGTGGGCCATAATGGGTCAAATGGCATCAGGATGTATGATCATAGTTCTGCAGCATCATAGGCTTTGAATCTACAGTGCTGGCTGGTATACTCCTGTCAAGGACACAGCTGTGCTCTTCTTCCCCATGCAGGAGTAGATGAGTGGAGCCATCCCCACACAGATAACACTTAAAGAGCTTGTTGAGACTTGACCTTGACAACAAGTTGCCACTTTGGGTCTGAGCCTGCTATCCAAGTGCCAGCTGAGTGGCTTTGTGTATTCTTGCCTTAGTGTTTGTGTGTATGTGTGTGTGTGTGTGGGGGGGGGGGGGGGGGGGGGGTAAGCACTGACTTTAAGAGCCTTTGCATAGCCACTACTTGGCTCTGGATAACATTGCCTACACTGCATTTAATTCTCTGCAGGGAAGGTGTGGTATGGGCTACCTTCTGATTCTAAGCCTTGGCTGCTCATGTGATGTTGCAGGCTTTTCTCAGGATAGTTTGGGACTGATAGACATTTCATTTTCCTTATACTTGCAAACAAGGTGGCTCCTCTGTCTGTTATTTCCAGAGGTGCTGACTGTCCCCAAAGACTTGGTTTCATACAATCCAGATTGTTAAAAACCTTTGGTGTTCCATGGCTGACATTGAGGAACATGAGGGTTGGGTGTAGTAAGCAGGACTGTTTGTGGAATTCCCTCCTTAGCACAGAGCTCTCCAAACTAAGGCCTGTTGGCTGGATGTGTCCCTCCAAGGTTACTTACCTGGCCCCCGACCTAAACTTTACACTTAGGGTCACCCTAAGTCTGAAACTACTTGAATGCACACAACAACAACCACAATTCTAATTAACTTGACAGTCTCATCAGCCAAAAGCTCACACTTCCCATTAAAATACTGGTAAGTTTATGTTGGTTAAAATTGTTCTTCATTTTAAATATTGTATTGTTCTTTCATTTTTTTTTGCACTACAAATAAGATATATGCAGTGAGCATAAGAATTCGTCCATATTTTTTTCAAACTATAGTCCACCCCCACAACAGTTTGAGGAAAGGTGAAGTAGCCATTGGCTTAAACAGTTTGAGGAATGAACTTTATCACCATTTTGAGCCTAAGTTAAGACTTCCTGGTATACCTGGAATTTTTGGTCTATGTGTGATTTGATTCTAAGGTGGTATTTGTGTCATTTTTAAAAAAACAGCACAGAGTGGGAGTTAATAATTTTGACCCTTGCATGTCTCTAATCAAAGAAACACTGTCCATTATCCTTTTGCGGAAGTGTTCCATCCTATCAGAATGTCTTACTCTTCCCTCCCTCTTTGCCTACTGCTTAGATCCATTGCCTCCTTCCCACCCAGAGGAGTCCTGCCTTGGTGCCAAAGAGCCTCCTTCATTTGAGTTGCTGCCAAGAGAGACGGAGCCCACTGAGAACCATACCGGATCAGCAACCTCCCCGCAAGAAGAAGAAGAGACTTCTCCAGTTAGCCCTCCCCCTGATACTGTTAAATCTGTTTCTCCTGCCCCTGGTTCTGTCAAAGCTATTTCCCCTGAAGCTGCCGATGTGGAAGGAGGAGAGCCCAGTGAGGAGGCCATGGACACTGGGGTGGAGGCACCAGTTCCAGACAACACCGCCAGCAGCAGCATCCAGCCCAGCCAAGAGGAGGAGGAGGAGGAAGAGGAAGAAGAGGCAGTAGCAGCAGCAGCTAAGATGGAGCTTGAGGAGAGATTTTCCCCACAGCTAAGTGAGGAGGAGGCACCAGATGAAGGGCCTGCCATAATGGGGGCGGAGCCCAATGAGAGTCACCTCAACTTTGCCAGTGAAAGCAAGCGCTCTCCCTCCCCTGTGGAGGCAGAACTTCTGGGGAGCACATCGACCCCAATGGAGGCCTATGGGGCTGCCAACCTGCTAGAGGGAGGAGGGGCAAGCGGTGAGGAAGAAGCAGGACTACCACCCCAAACATCCTTGAGGCCCCACCACTTGTTGAAGTCTGATATTGTTAATGAGATATCAAATCTGAGCCAGGGCGATGCCAGTGCCAGCAGCTTCCCCAGCTCAGAGCTCCCATTTGCCTCCCCATACCACGAAGGTGGGGGTTCTCTTTCCCTGGAAATGGCTGGCCTGACCTCCACTGATGTCAGCCTGCAGAGGGAAGATGGTGGTTCTTTGCCCATGGGTGACATGGATGACTCCTTGCCCTTTGATATGAAGGGTGAGTGTGAGAAGGGACGACGACGTAGCTCCCCAGCCCGCTCCCGAATGAAGCAGGTAAGCCGAAGCTGTCCGCAGGCTGGGTCTGAGGGGTCCTTTCCAGAGCCTTCCCACAGTGCTTAGTCCCTGCCCTCAGGAGTGGTGGGGCTCCTGGAGGAGTGACAGTGAACTGGAGGGGGTCAATGCTCCTTGGCATGTTTCGCTGCACATCATTTCCCCTGCCCTTCTCTCTTCTTCTGGTCATAGGGCCGCAGCAGCAGTTTTCCTGGGAGAAGACGGCCTCGGGGAGGGTCTCACGCAGGCCGAGGGCGGGGCCGGTCACGGTTGAAATCCACCACTTCCTCCATCGAGACATTGGCGGTAGGGGCGGTTTTAGCAGGCAGGACATTATTTTGGTGGGGAGGAAGGGATTGAGGCAGGAAGTTGAATTTGGACATGACTTAGAACTACAGAAAAGCTATAACTGCCATAAATATAAAGGAAATCGGGACTAGGCCCACCCAGTATTGATCTGTTGCTTAGGCTTGGAGACCAAAAGTATGCTCTTTTGCTACTGGTGCTCAGCATAACTTGACTTGACTGACCCCCTTATTTTTATTGATGATGCCTGGGCACATTGTGTACACCTCCCCTCCTCTTGTTCTCATTTTCATTTCAATGTCGTAAGTACCTCTTCTCATTAAGACTTGTCACATTCTTTCCAAGAGGTGGCTTCTCATTCTCAAAGTCCTTAAAAGCAGGGTCTTGTTGTCAGGTGTTTGTTTTGCCCCTTACTGCAGCTCTGAGAAGCTGCTCCTGTCGAGTTCTCTGCCCTCCGCTGTTGTTCTTTAATGGCCAGAAGCCAGCGCTCGGAGTAGCTACTTTTCCTAAGGCATAACTCCTGAAATCTCCCAGCTGTTGTGGCCATGAGCTGTTTACGTCTTTTGCAAGGACTGAAAAAACTGTAGTCAGACAAAATAGCATCCCCAAGTTATAGTAGGAGCTCCATCCTTCCGGATCAGGAGTTTGCCTAAGGAAAAGAAGGGGGTGGGGTGGTTAGATTGTAGGTCTTCCCTTTATTTTAGGGCAGTAGTTCTTGTATGCAGCTGACAGGTTGTGAATATGATAGTCCATGCTTGTGTGTGCACCCTTTTTTCTCTAAATGGTACGTGGTGCTTCAAAAGCACCAAGTACCATTAATGTGTCTATATTTTTTTTCTTCCAAGCTTGCTGATATTGATAGTTCGCCTAGCAAGGATGATGACGACGACGATGATGACACAATGCAAAACACAGTGGTGCTCTTCTCTAATACAGACAAATTTGTGTTGATGCAGGTGCGTATGGGCATATGTGTTTTAAAAAGGGTAGCATGACTGAGCCTACATGCAGCTGTGCAAGTCAAAATACACACCCATTATTCATTAAGGGTGATCCATTGCAGTTTCTCAAGTTGCTCCTGACACGAAAAAAAAAGTCATTAAGAAATTGAACTGATATAACTGACTTAAGTCCCAGTTAAGTGATTTTTGAAGTGGGCATGGGATTGACATTAAGCAAAGTCTGGAAACTTGAAGCAGATTTAAGTTGCAGTGGTGGGCTGAATCATTCCCTCTTACCTCAAAGAGAACTCCGTTTGCATTTCTGGGTGAATTTCTAACATTCTGTAAGACAAAACCCTTTAGGCTAATGTGAGTGCTCAACTGAAGTAAATTTTGCTGCATGATCACACACTCTCTCCAATACTTACTGTTTTGAGTTTGCTTGTCATTTGCTGTTTTTGGTGTGTTTTTCATAGGGCGTCTTCCACATTTTTCTTGGTTTGTCTTGGTAGAAACTACAGTCGGTCCTCTATATTTGTGGGTTTAACATTTGATTAATCAAAATTTGATTAATACAGTTTGATTATTTATTAATTTGATTAATATCTTAGCTCTAACAATTTCTGCAGGATCATGTTGGAAGACCTAGAGTGTCCTAGAGATAAGATTTGATCAAATCTTTTTCTTAACTTGAGGGAACATCTTTATGGGACTCTTTAGGTCCTCCAGAAGGACTCTGTGATCAACTTCCAGCAGAAGATGGACATAGAATCATGCTGGAGGACCTTGAGTTTTCTAGACAGGTGTTCTTTCAAGTAAAAGAAAAATTAGCTTTTTTATTTGCAGTTTTGCAGTCATGAGGGTCTTGTATTTTTGACCCTGGGGCTGTAGAGGGCTGACTAGCTATTTTCATTCTGAAAACAATTGGTAGCTTTCATTTATTTTGGTATATTTCAAAGAAATTTGCCCTCTCCCTTGTTAAAGACTTGCACATTTCTAAAATGTATTTAATTGGTCAGAAGCAAGAGTGCTATATATGCCGTCTTATTGCTTAGCAGCCCTAGTGTTTTTGGAGGGTGGTGGCACTCCCTGTAAAGTAGGTGAGAGTCTTGCAACAGAGTCATGGCACCCAGTGATATGAAAGAGGGAGCAAAGCTTGATAGTAACCTCTCTTGATCTTGAGCTGGTATTGAGCCCCTTCTCTTCTCCCTTGTCAGGATATGTGTGTAGTGTGTGGCAGTTTTGGCCGTGGGTCCGAGGGCCATCTCCTGGCATGTTCTCAATGTTCCCAGTGTTACCACCCATACTGCGTCAACAGCAAGGTAAACTCTGCTCTACCTCCATTGCTTTTCTTCCCCAAAAGTATAGAGTTCTGCTCTTAAGACCGAGATTCTACTTTTCAGTAAAGGTGGCCTGAGCTTGCCAAATGGTCAAAGATATATGTTTTGAATTTTCATCTTGTTGCTGAATTTGAAGCCTCCAGTTCTAGCTGGAGGGCTAGTGGTAACGGCTGTGTTTGTCAAGGAGTTTGGGACTCACAGAGAGAGCATGTGCAGACAGAAGAAATAGGAAACCTAAGAATACTGGTGGGGACAGACCTGGAAAGAAAACAACAATTGGCCCTGTGAGGATTGACATGATGGTTCCTACTGGATCTTTTGGGCTAGAAGTCCTGTGACCATTGTCCATCTTGGTTGGAATCGTGGGAGTGATAGCCCAAAATATCCAATTCCCTGACCTCCACATGGAATCCCCAAGTTACAAACATCCAACTTAAAAATGACTCATAGTTAAGAACAGGGGTGAGACAACAGGAAGTGAGAGAAATCTCCCCCTTGGAAGGGAAATTCAGTCCTGAAAGAGAGTGGGGGAAAAGGTGTTCCAATGAAGTTTTATCACCAATCCTTGTTTCCACAACAAGCCGCATTTCTCAAAATCCAATTATCACATTGTCCCTTGTTTTGGCCTATGAAAGCATAAAGAGTCCCTGGGATCTGACTGGGTCATATAAAATTTAAACCCTCTAACCTGACTTGAAATGCAACCAATTCATTAAGGAATAGGTCTGTGGAAGACAGGGTCATTTTTTCAATTCCTTCAGCTTTGCTCAGAGAGCTAGCCTAATAGGGCTGTCCATATGCAGGGGGATCTGTGGGAGGACACAGTCACTCCAGAGAGCATGGAGCATGCTCAGACAGTTTAGTTGATCATATTTCTCTATAAGAACTTGCCCAGGCCTTGATTTTCTCAGGAGAGGCCCTTCTCAGTTCCAGCTCCATCGCAAGTTCGATGGGAAAGAGAGAGCAACTCTAGAACTCCCTTTTTCCCAGGCAAGCCAGAATGGTCCCTTCCCTGCTATTCTTCCAGAGGCAGGCTAACACCCTTTTATTCAGAAGCGTTTTTTTAGATTAGGTGAGGAGGTGATGTGGTTTTAGCTACAAATGATTTAAAGGTTTTAACTTTGTTTTTAATCCCACTAATATTTAATTCTATTTAATGTTCCTATATATTTTAGGTTTTAAATTGCATTGTATTGCTTTGAGTATAAGCCACTTTGTGTCTATTTTTTAAAGAAAAAAAATCAGGATATAAATAAATAAATACTATTATTCATGATCTTGAGTTCCCAATTGGATTACAGCTCCCATTACTCTAACCACAGGGCATGGTAGCAGTGGTGAAGGGAATTGCCCACTAACCCCTGGAGTTGTAAAGTTACAACAAATTGGAGAAAGGATCAAGAATGCTGGATTAAAAGCCTCAAAGTCCCCCCATCCGCCATGTCCCTCCTCCCTGCTCCGTCTCCCAAGCAGAGCCCTCCCTGGTCTTTCCACTGCATCCTGTTATGCTTCTTTGATGCATATTTGTCTCTTTTTCCTTGTTAAAAGATTACCAAGGTGATGCTGCTCAAAGGCTGGCGTTGTGTGGAGTGCATTGTGTGTGAGGTGTGTGGTAAAGCATCCGACCCTTCCCGCCTGTTGCTCTGTGATGACTGTGACATCAGCTACCATACCTATTGCCTGGATCCGCCTCTCAACACCGTGCCCAAGGGTGGCTGGAAGTGTAAATGGTGAGAAACCATGTTTTCCATAGAAGACTTTACAAAGCAGCACTTTGTTTGCTGACCTTCTCATGATAGTATAAGGCTGACATTCTTTTGTGTAGCCCTAATTAGAATACAACCATCCAATCAGTTGTTGAATGGTGAACCAGCACACAGGCAATTCAGATTGCGCCAGTTGGTATATTCTAGTTCGGGCTAATAAGATTACGGCCAAACACTTTTGAAAACAAGGGTTTTTGAAGGAAGAGCTTTTAAGAAATTGCTGTGTTCTTGTTTTCTGTGTTGATAATAGCTTGAGTCTATTTTAAAATTAATACTTTGTATATTTAAAGTATGTTGTATTTGTGATGATGTGTAAGCCACTTTGAGTTCTAGTTTTAGGGAAATGGATATAAATAAAGATGACGATGTTGATTGTAATGTTGTGATTCAAACAAAATTGGAGTTCGGTATCAAGAGAAATCTAGTTCTTCCAGCTTGTCCCTTCATCGTGCTTCATATGTCAAAACTTGACTTAATTTCCAATACTTCTGTCATATTTCTGCAGCAATTCGCAAATTCAAAAATGAAAAGTCTGGCCATTTTTAAAAAACTTTAAACCTGGACCATATATTTAATAACTCCTAATAATAATTGAGCTATAAAAAATTACATAGATAAGAACATGCAGTATGTCAGCTGCATGTGCCCAGATTATATGAAAGATGTTATAAGACAATTTCAGGTGTACATCTTACTTTGCCTTTTCAATGATAAAGTAAATATTTTTGGAAATGTAAGTTACTATTTTCATGTAGAATGATCTATTTAATGTGAGAGTGGAGGGAATCCACAAGCTCTTTGTGCTCTCCTCACTGCCACCAAACTTACTGACTGCCATATTTTATTGGTGAAGAAGTGGAAAAGCTTTATTTTCATACGAAAAGAAGATCCATGGAGAGCATGCACCTGATTTTTAATCAGAAGCACTTAAAATCTTTATTTAAAACAATGCATGTACTATTTCTGTGTATGCCATATCTGTTTTAAAGAAACTATTTTTTGAAGAAGTGTTGGCATTTTTTGCCACCACTGGAATTCAAGGAGGGCAGTGGTGGTGAGTATAAAACTCAGAGGAATGCCTAGAAGTTGCAAACGCCCTCCACCCCTATTCAAATAGATTTTTTAAAAAGTAAATGTTTATTTGAAGAAGAACCAAGATATTTTTATTTATTTATTTATTTATTTATTTATTATTTATTTATTTATTACTGCATTTATATCCTGCCCTTCTCAACCCCGAAGGGGACTCAGGGCACCCCTTACATAGGTAGCAATTCAATGCCATACATTAATACATGGGTTAATAAACAAAAACTTTAAAACCAAACAAATATAGTTCAGAATATAAGATAACAGAATATACATTCAGATCAACATATACAACCAATATAACAACAGAAGGAGATGCTCAAAGATGAGGCTGTAAATTGTATTCTTGTGCCAAATAGTCATAAGTATTGTGAGTATAGGTATCTAGTCCTGAATCCCTGATTGAAGAGCGGATGATTCCTCATTGGCTATCCCAGACCACTTGGCCTAAAATGAAGTTATAAATGAGATTTTCAAGCTTGGCATCAGTCGATTGTCATTTTCTTTTGAACAGGTGTGTGTGTTGTGTGCAGTGTGGAGCGGTGTCACCTGGCTTCCACTGTGAATGGCAGAACAACTACACTCACTGTGCCCCTTGTGCTAGTCTTGTTACTTGCCCCATCTGCCAGGTGAAGTATGTAGAAGAGGATCTACTAATCCAGTGCCAGCACTGTGAGCGGTAAGCTAAACCTCTCTGCTGTTGTTTCTGTTTTAAAAACTCAATCTTTATGGTGATTTTATCATAGTAGTCTGATTGACACAAGAATAGGCAATGAAAAATGCTTCCTTTAAAGATGATTCTAGAGAAGCAGCCTAACTATATTACACTTCAAACATGTAGAAGGTAAAAGTTCCACCAAGATAGCACAGTGTTGTGGAACTATTTTCCTATGTTTTTGTTAGCCTTCTTTGCACAGGTTATTAATCCCAATTACTCTGCTATTGGCATGGATGAGGGATTGCAGCAACAAACAAGAGGATTGAAATACCTCCTTCAAAGTTTATGCGCTACCTGACTTGGATGCTAGGTCTACTGCCCTTTTACCTTAAAAAATTATAAATCTCAAAAACCAGAGTGTCACTTAATTGTGTACTTCTCAGGTGGATGCATGCTGTATGTGACAACCTGTTCACTGAAGAAGAAGTAGAGCAGGCAGCTGATGAGGGATTTGACTGTACATCATGTCAGCCCTATGTAGTTAAGCCTGTTGGTAAGTACTAAAGTGCCTCTGTGAAGTTCTCAATGCCATATTTTATATTGCTTTTAGGGTATTTGTTGTAATGTTGACTTATGTTTTAGTTAGCTATGTCTTTTTGGATTGTTTTGCTTTATTTTTCATCACAATGCTTAATTCTTTGTCGCAAGCTCACTGTTATTACTGTTTTTTTATTGTGCATTATTTTGATACGTTTGTACTCACCTGAGACATTGAATGCTTGCCTTTTTGTATCCCCTTCAGGGAGAGAGGGCGGTCTAGAAATAGAGTTTTATTATTATTTATTATATACTTCAAAAGAAGAATTATCACCAGTTTCTCAGTGTTGCAGGGGAGGAATTTCATTGAAACCCCTCAACTCGGGAGTCAATCCTAACCTAAGAAGAATTTCTGCTCTTTAAAATTTACTCTCCCCAATCCCATTATTTGTTCTTCAGACTCTTAGCATTTGTGTGTTTATGAGAGCAGAACTGCTGATGGAACCTGAAGAAGGGTTAGCATTGAAAATGAAACAGATCTGTCTACACAGGCTAGGAAATTTCACAGCCATCACCTAGAATATTGCTATTGTTGCTTTGTTTCTTTGAAAGAAGTAATGGTCTTGTCCGTTGTATTACTGTTTATTGGTTTTGTTGAGTTTTGTTTTGAATTTCAATGCCGCTGTTTAGTATCTTATGTTTTATTTAATTGTTGTTTTTTTATCTGGTTGTTATATCTTACTATGCTTTTATTTTAACTATGTTTCTGCTTTGATTGAATGTTTGGCTTTTATGTCTTGTGGACATTTTGACCCATGTGTAAGCTGCCCCGAGTCCCTTCAGGGAGATGGTGGCAGGGTATAAGAGTAATGTTGTTGTTGTTGTTGTTGTTGAATTCAAATATATGGTGGTACTAGTCTGGAATATCTGTATGAAAAATACTCTTGTAGCACCTTAGAGACTGAGAAGACAAAGTTGATAGCATAAGCTTTCATAGACTACCCACATCTTAAGAGGTAGATTTAGTCTATGGAAGCTTATGCTACCTATTTTGTCATTTCTCTTAGTTTCTAAGGCTCTACAAGATCCCTTTGCATTTGAAATGAGAGGCAGTGATGAACCACTACTGCATAAGGGCTACAGTAAGAGTGTTTTCAGTGAGGGTAAGCTTATGACTGTACATTTAGGTTGCCAAAGGGAGGAGTGCAGCAAAAAAACGGAAATGAGAAGTGTAGTTAAAAATGATAGACAATTTGGATCATGCTAGTTCTGTTTATCAACTTGATTGGCTATAAGAAAATTAGACAAGATTCAGGGGAGATACCAAGGCTCTCAAAAGTTACTCATCATGACGATGGACCAGGGATGCATATGAATATGTATTACATACAGCATTAGAGGCATGTAATCACTTAATACCGGATGATAAAGAATATGTTGTGGAGTTAAAGTGCTAAGTATGGGACCCTGCGCAGACGGTCAGTCAATGCGACTTAAGCAACGCGCAGTCATTGAATTCTTGAGAGTGGAAGGTGTCACCCCTAAGGAGATCCATCAGAGAATGCAAGCTGTTTATGGTAACTGGGCTGATGTGAATACTGTGCGTCGTTGGGTGAGTAAGTTTAAAGATGTTGAGGTGGGAACATCTGACTTGTGTGACAAAGAGTTAGACATCCTGTGACAGTAATCACCGAGTTTCACAAGCAAAAGGTTGACAGATTGATTCAGGACAATTGTCGTTATCATTCAGAGAGAAATTTCAAGCATAATTGGCATTTCACAAGAACGTGTGGGTCACATTACTGCTTTGCTTGGCTGTCGGAAGATTTGTGCACGATGGATAGGTTGAGAGAATGTGAGATGCTCATTGTGGAAACAAAGTGTCTGACAGCTTCAGAAAACTTGTTCATCGCTGGCAGAAATGTATCCAATTGTCTGGTGATTATGTGGAAAAGTGAATAGTGATAGTTAAAGAGCACATTCTAAGGATTATTTCTGCATTCGATTTATTAAAATATTCCCATCCAAACCCAAGTAACAAAGGTGGAGGCATTACTTTTCATTCATTCTCGTAAGAAAGATTGGGTCAATTCTTGTGGATGCTTTCCAATAATCTAATTTGGAGCATGCCTCTTATTACATAGAGATGGGGTGTGTATTTGTGATAAAATGCACTGGTACTATGATGCAGTATTTTACAACCTATCTTTTTTTCCTCCCTTTTCTTTAAAAGTACCAATTCCTCCTCCAGAAATTATTCCAATGAAGATCAAAGAGCCAGGTAAGTTCCTTTCTCACCTGTGGTTCATATGCCTTTTCAGCTGGGTATTCAAGGATGCCCAAGATTTCCTGTGAATGTAGTATACGTCTTGCTTGCTTCTGCTGCTGCTAGGGAATCCCATCTAGGGGTCACTTGCTATGTCTTGGATTCGGGGGTGAAAGGATGAAACTAGATCCTATTTCCCCTCTTTGCAAGAGTGTCCCAAATATAGATTGCTTGAGGAGAATAGTTAAACTGCTTTATATACTGAACCAGGTTAATTGTCTATCCAGTGTTCTCAAGTATTCAGTAGTATTGGCTCTCCAGCATTTCAGAGAGGAGTTCATCAAGAGTTGAACTAGATTGAACTTGGGACTTTGGTGCAAAACATACATTTTACTCACGGAGTTTGTAGTGCTCTTGTTTGATAGTGGTTGTTGCTGCTTATTATGTTGATTTATTTATTTATTTACTTTATTTGTATACCGCTCTTCTCAGCCCTTAGGCGACTCAGAGCAGTTAACAACAAACAGCAGCAAAAATTCTGTGCTAGCATCATACAAACCATTTAAAACAATTAGCACAATAATACACTAAGCAATTACCATCAATAAACATCAATAACAACTCATTAGCGTCTCATAACTAAAATCATAATCCAAGCTCGTCATCCGTTGTTCCGATTTCCTATAATTCATTATAATTCATTGCACTGCCTATTCAAACGCCTGTTCAAATAACCAGGTTTTCACTTTCTTCCGAAATACCATTAATGAAGGAGCCAGTCTAATGTCTGTGGGAAGGGCGTTCCACAGTTGATAACATAAACTGGTGCTAGAATCACATTGATGACTTAAACTGGTTGTAGCTGTCACACATTTCAGTATATCTGAAGGATAACGGGATATAAATGCCCCAAGATTTATATCCCACTTATTGCTATCTTCTTGTCTTGCTTGGTATTGGAGGTAATGTGGTCCCCAATCCAGAGAAAGAGTTTGCATGAGGAATAAATGTTGACATAGTCACTGTTGGAATGTCTTTATTAATTGTACGGACAAGGGGATGTAACTCATTTACCTATGAAAAAATCACATAAGGAGACACAAAGTTTTATTCTCTCCCCACAGAGCCCCAGTATTATCGCTTTGAAGGGGTCTGGCTTACAGAGACAGGCATGGCAGTGTTGCGTAACTTATCCTTATCACCACTACACAAGCGCCGACCACGCAAGACTCCGCCAACTATACCTCGACTGGGCAACCTTAATGGTGAGGGTGGTCTGGATGCTATCGACCTTATGGGCCCAGATGAAAAAAAGGATGTCGATGTAGAGGGAGATGAGATTCTGAAAGCTGAAGGTTTGTGCCCATACTTAACAACTCAGTCTTTGAAAGTATTAAACAGTCCTGTTATGTTCATACATTACTATTCTGATCCATTTAGCTGTGTTCTAGCAACTTGGCAAGCCTGCAGAAATGAAAACGCAATTTTTCAAGATGTTGAAACAGGAGTGTTTCCCAGCATTTGATCTCATAGATCAAAACTATCTTATTTCCAAGCCATGATTCCTCTGTGCCCAACATTTCTTTTACATCTATTTCAAGGACTTGTAATTTTTCTGTTACAGAAAAGTTGTGGTGATGGAATATTTGTAGTCCATTTATTGTAGGATATTAGTGTCCTGCTTTAAATAATTAAGAATTAATAACTTGTCACTACAAAGGATATGTGTATGTATTACTCAGAATCTGGAAACTAAATGGTGATCTCTATTGTGGTGGGTGATGTGCCTCAAGTTCTCTAATGTCCTCTATTTCAAAAAGTTGACAGCTTTTATTGACTTGACAATTATGATGGGGTGTATTCTACAGGAGAGAGATCAGTCTGTTATAATTGGAAGTTTGCAAATGTATTCCTTCACTTGACAGTGCATATACCTGAAAATACAGTTGAGGTTTGCAGATGTATGTGTGATGGACCATTGACAAGTCAGTTATATGTACATGTTGAAGTTGCTTCTTGACTTAAGGGGACCCTATCTGTTTTCTTAAGCAATGATTATGCAGGGGTGGTGTTCCATTGCCTTCCGTGAAAAATAGGCTACTGCACAAGTATTCCTTGTTTGACTCTCATCCAAATACAAACCAAGGTTGTTGCTGTTTAGTATTGATGACCACAAGGGATTTGATGCCCTAAGGAGAACTATACTGGTGAAGTTTTATGCCAGTGAAAATGAAAGATTTCCCCTTTTTAAAATGCCTAATACATTGAAAAATAATGTCATATACTCACAGCAATATGCTTACTTGGTTCTGTTTGTTTTTAAAGAGTGTTTGTTTTCATTATTGGCACCCCCCCCTGCAGTCAGTGTGGAGCACATGGAGTGTGAGATCAAATTGGAAGCTCCCCCTACCCCAGAAAGGGAAGCTGCTGCTGACCCGGATTTGGGAAAGGGGCTGTTGGAGGATGCTGAGGAGGTCAAGAAGCGGAAGCGGAAGCCATACCGGCCAGGTGAGAGCTCTTTGCCAAGGCCTGGGCCTGACAGAGTTTGAGGCGTCTTTGTCTCTCTTACTGACTTATCTCTCTCCTCCCTCTCTTGAACAGGGATTGGGGGGTTCATGGTGCGGCAGCGGAAGTCACATACACGCTTGAAAAAGGGCTCAGCAGCCATGGCTGAAGTTTCGCGTGAAGTGACAGGTGCAGAAGGGCACCAAGATGAAGGTATGTGACCTGAAGTCTCTCCTGGATGGGCTGGGTTACAACTTTTCCTCTAGGACAATTTCCAGGGGCCACTTTTATTGTCTAGATTGAGCCTGCTGTGGAATGATCCCACTCCTGCAATTGGCCAGTCCACATCAGCATTCATTTTGAAATAACTATTGCTGGAGTGGAACAAGGTGTAGGGCTTGTTTCAAAGGAGGTTTACCACTCTTCGTAAGCTTGAGATGTGGGCATTCTACCTTGTTTTTCAGAAAACATTTCTGGCAGGATGTGTAGGATCAGGCATATAACCTGTATATTGCTTTCATATGCTCTAGATTATTCCATACCGTAACATCATCAAGGAATTGTAGTTTCTCCATCGTGGTCAACTGTGAATCTCGCATATTGTATTATTTAAACAGAAGTACATGTTGCATCTCCTTAATTGCTGTATCTAATTCTGACTCAAAGACCCAGTGCAGTGAGGTAGCAAAAACTGAGGTAAAAGTAACAGTGGGAAATACTTAATTGGCTTTCCAGTCATTGGATATAATGGAAATGCGGCACCATCACCCTCAGTATCTGTGGAGCTTCCATTCCTTCTCTAGAGTGATCCTGGTCATCTTGGGTATTGCTGTTTCCCCATCCTCCCTAAACTTGAAAGAATGTGTGACTTCTTCTTCTTCCTCTTCTTCTTATTATTATTATTACTACTACTGCTACTACTACTACTACTACTACTACTACTATTTCCTACCCCCTGTCTCCAAAAGGACATGGAGTGGCTTACAAAAGAAGAACACAATATAGATACTAATAAATATACAATCAAATCAAACATTAAACTCACATAATAATTAAAACACATAAAACACCATAACATATTAATAAAATTCAGAAGGAAGTCTCTGATAGGCAAAAGTATCTAACAGTTAAAACATGTACTGAGATTAAAAGGATTACAAAACCGACCCTTCTTAATAAAACAGTCAACCAGTTCACATTCAAATCCTCCATCATTAGTTGTTCTCAAAGGCCTGCTTCCATAGCCAAGGTTTTAATGCTTTCCTAAAAGTCATAAATGTGGGAGCCAGCCTGATCTCCTCAGGGAGGGCATTCCAGAGCCAAGGGGCGCTTGTGATGGTGGCGGGAATGCTGAGAAGAGCCTCTCCAGCAGATCTCAGGGCCAGACCGGGTTCATAGGGGGAAACATGGTCATGCAAATAGATTGAACCCAAATTGTTTAGGCCTTTTAAGGTAATAACCTACACTTTGAATTGGGCCCGGAAATGCACAGGCAGCCGCTGGTGCTGTTTAGCATGGGGGTTGTATGCTCCCTGTAATCAGCTCCTGTTAGTCAATCGGCCGACACTCTTTGCACCAGTTGTCGTTTCCAAATGCAGATAACAGATCCCAGTCTTACTCTTAATACACTAAGATATACTAATATTATCTTGATAATCTCAATTCTTCAGGGGCTCAACCCACCCAATCTACTGAAGTCCCTGCAGAGCCCATCACTGAGCAGGGAGTAGTTGAGGGGGATGAGAAGAAGAAACGGCGGGGCAGGAAGAAGAGCAAGCTGGAGGACATGTTCCCTGCATACCTTCAAGTAAGTATGGTAACTTAGTACAGCCTTCTGGAGTTTTTTTCTGAGGCTAAACCGTTTTTCATTTTGGGTGGAGAGGATGGTCTTTATAGTCCAGCATGTGTGGGTGTTGGGGAAGCCACAGAAAGCTAGCTTAGTGGCCTTAGAAGCCATGCTCTTGCACACAAGTCAGTAGAACTCTTTCTTCAGTTCTTTCAGCAGCTGTGCATCCAAAGTACGAAGGGGGAAATGGGAGAGTCATAGAGATGACAAGTAGCAAGGGTGATGGCTTAGTTCTAGGCTGGGGAAATGCAGAATTGCTGGAAGTTGAAGCATGATAAAGATCTCTGGAGATCCATTGATAAAATAGAGGATGGCTATTCGTAAGCCGGAGTGGAATGCAATGCAGATGTGAGGAAGTGGGAACAGAAGCCTGAGTTCAAGGGGAAGGTGAAGCAGGTAACTTGGGACTGTAGTGGTATGCATCAAAATAAGTGCTCTCAGATGGAGGTTGACCTTCCAGACACCCACCAGAGTTAATTATCTTTTCTTCTTTCCCCACAACTCCTTGACAGGAAGCCTTTTTTGGAAAGGCATTGCTGGACCTAAGCAGAAAGGCCTTGCTAGCAGCCGGTGGTGTAGGTGGGGATGGCACTGCCCACCCTCCCATTGGCCAGGGGGCTCCCAGGCCCAAGATGGATTCCAGCTTGCTCTCCAAAGGATTGGTGGATGGAAAGGAAGCTTCTGTTCAGCCCAAAGGTAAGCAGGCAGCTAGACCCAGAAAGGCCATTGGGTGGGAGGTGAAGTAGAAGTATATAGGAGATGTGTGGGTAATTCTTCCACAGATTTGGGCCTAAGGAGCAGAAGGGAAAGGGAATGCTGGTTTAAATTGGAAAAGGCCATTTGGTTTTGCATGCCGAACACATTTACAAGGTAGTTTGGGAGCAAATTTCTCTGGATTTTAAAGGAACTTTGTCCAGGTAAAATGCACCTCCTCTGTGTGGTTCCTGTGAAATGCACACATATGGGTCTTCTACACCTCTGCGCAGACAGTTTTGGAACTCTCTAGAATCTTAGAAGATACTTTTTGGTGGTAGCCCCGTCCATTCTCCCCTGATAGCATATATAACCACTAGGCAGGGCTGCCACTCCAGTTCCTTCCTTTCGCCGCAGTAGCAGCAGCTACGAACCTCTCTTCGTGTTGACTAGCCACTCTTGTTAATTCGACCACTAACTCTTAATTTTGGAAATCGACTGGACCCTCTTGACCACTTCTTTCTTCCCGATTTGGACTTACCTGCTCTGACTCATTGGCTGTTCATGGACCGTTTGACCTCCCTCTCAGGCCTGTTACATTTGACCTTTATGGGCCCTATGATGTTGGCCTTTTTCAAAAAATGCTCCCAATGTGGCAGAAAATATCTGGACATGAATGGCCATTCTGTCTACCTCGTGTGCCTGGGGGAGGGCCACGCTGTATGCTCTTGCCCAATAAGCCAAACTTTTACCCCCCAAGCACGAAAACATAGGAAGATGCAGCTTAAAGCCTTGCTCTACGATCAGGCCCTTCTGCTCCCACTTCCCAAGACAGCAAAAAGAGCTGCCTCCGAGCCCCCAACTGGCCCACGCCCCGTGATGGCCAATCCCAATCGCGTGGGGCCCAACCTACCTTCTCAAGCGGAGGTGGGAGCATGTGGCGCGGCATCTGCTGTGAAAGCAGCTAAAATAAAATGAAAACAGTCTGGCTTCTATCCCTTCCACCCAGGGAAAGGCCTCTCACCACTTCAAAAAGGCTGCAAAACAGTAAGGAAAACATAAAAAGCACAATTTGCAAGATAACTGCTGAACTGATGGGTTGTACAGAAGAAGAAATGTCGGAGAATATTGCGAAATCATACAGAATAATGATAAACTTTGCAAGGAGAAATAAAGTAGCCCAAGATGTCATCGTCCACTTCACTAGAAGAAACCTGAGAGAAGAGATACTGAGGGAAAACAACAAGAACCCACTGTTCTACAAAGGGGAAAAACATCCTCATTCTGAAAGAACATCCAACAAGCATCTTAATGAAAAGAAAGAAATATATGTTTCTGGTGGACAAACTAAAGAAAAACCAAATCCGCTTTAGTGGGAAAGAATAGAAGGAATGATGATCACTTATAAAGATGAAAGAATTTGGGTAACATCAGAAGAAAAAGCTAAGATTTTCTACAAAAACTAATGATTTGGAAATAAATAAATCACCGGATTACTCAAATAGTAGAGACTCTAAAAGAGCAAGATTCCTCTCCCCGACTTTGACGATGACGACTTCGACTTCAAATCTTCCTGAACCGGACTTAGGCCTACTATCGCATAAATAAAACTCAATGATGCAACTAAAGTTTCGGAGTAATAATATCAACAGTTTGAACTCCCCATATAAACGGGGAAAAAGCGTTTAACAAGATAAAAAAAGGGAAATATGATTTAGTGGCGCTCCAGGAAACCCACATAAATAAAAAACAAGTCTCAAACCTAATCCAAAAAAATATAGAGAAGGAATTCTACTCTTCCGCAAATGAGAAGAAAAGAGGGGTGGTCGTATATGTCAATCCAGAATTGGAACTTAAATTGGCCTTCAAAGATCAGGAAGGAAGAATGATTGGAATAAGTATAAAACAAAATGGTCAAAATTTGCTCTTCTGTAATATATAATGCCCCAAATGGCCCCAAAACAAAATTTATCAAGGAACTGAGGGAAAATCTTCAGAATCAAAACTTTGACAATTTAATTACAGTGGGCGATTTCAATGGGGTAATGGATGTAAAAATGGACAAATCAAATAAAAAGAAAAAACTAGGCAACAAAACGAACCAGCTACCTCAAACTCTCTTAAATTTAAAACAAGAATTCAATCTAAATGATTTCTGGAGGAAAACACATCCCAAAGACATAGACTATACTTTCTTCTTGGACCGACATCAATCCTGGTCTAGGATCGATATGGTCTGGGCTTCGAATACAATACTCACAAAAACTGCAAATATAAAGATCCAACCTAGAACAATATCAGATCACTGCCCCATAGAATGTATAATTAACAAAACAAAGAGAACTTACAGATGGAGGTTAAACGATAACCTCCTGAAATCTGAAGAGGACATAAACAAAAATAAAGAGTTATTAAGAGAATACTTCCAGATGAATTTGTCCCAAGACGTATCCTTACAAACAGTTTGGGATGCTAGTAAGGCAGTGATGCAAGATCACTTCATTCAACAAAGCTTACAGAAAACGGGAATAAAGAAACAAAATAGAAAAAGTGATCCAGCAGATAGCCATACTTGAAGGAAAGTTAAAACAAAACGCAACTGACAAAAAAACCAAAACAAAATAAAACAAGAATTAAAATCTTGGAAAATTCAAAGAGAGAAATTAGAAACAGAACAATTAGCCAAACAACTAAAATTTATTAAACAAAGAGATTTCCAACATGCAAACAAACCTGGAAGGTGCCTTTCCAGGAAGATCCGACAGAGAAAACAGACACAAATTATAACAGAAATAGAAACAGAGGGCAAATCTTTCACAAATAATCAAGACATAATAAAACAATTTTATAAGTTCTACCAAAAATTATATGCCAAGGATCAAATAAAGAAAGAAGATATTATGTTTTTTTTTGAATTAACAAAATATACAAAAGATAACAGATCAACAAAGACTGAGTTCAAACAAGGAAATAACTGAAGAAGAAATAAATAAAATTATTAAGAAAATGGATGGGAATAAGGCCCCGGGCCCCGACGGCTTCGCAACCTCCTACTACAAAGTAATGAGTGATGAAGTGATGACATACGTCTTAAAATCAATTAATGGGATTTTGAAAGCACCATAAACCTCCAGAATCTTGGAAATTGGCCCACGTCACGATGATACATAAAGAAAAACAGGACCCACGGGACGTCAAGAACTACAGACCCATTTCCCTATTAAACGTAGATTATAAAATCTTTGCTGGTATTCTCGTCGAAAGATTAAAGACTTTTTAAAATGAATGGGTGAAAGAAGAGCAGTCAGGATCTAAATCAATGGGAGAAAACCTAGAACCAAAAAATTAAATATACCTTATATTCTGGTGTATAAGACTACTTTTTAACCCAAGAAAATCTTCTCAAAAGTCAGGGGTCGTCTTATACGCGGGAGTCGTCTTATATGCGGGAGTAGTCTTTTACGCCGGGAGTTGTCTTATAGAACGGGTGCTAAAACTTTCAATCCAGATTGGAAAAACTATGGTTGCTGCATATTGTGGAGGGAGCTCAAAAATGGCAGTGGCCACGTCCCTGCCATATGTAGCGACTGTATGAAAGCAGTAAGGGCGACACTGTACAAATATGGTAGAAGAAAATCCATTCATCAGGATTTGTGGACTTAATGTGGTCCCGATGGTGAGGTGAAGGGGCGTCTCACTGGGAAGGTGTAAGAGAAAGGTGGAGCAAGCTGCAGGCGCCCGGGGCGCCCAGGGTATGGAAAAAAGAGATAGAGTGGCTCTGGGCCCAGAAAAACACAACTCTTTTACCTGTCTGGCCTGCCTTTGTATCCTTTTACCGTACCTCCCCCTCTGCCTCTCAGATTTCGCTCCTGAAGACTGCAGTGAAGTGGTGCAGGTGCGCATGTGCGAGCTCTGAGTGGCAGAGAAGGAGGTACAGTAATAGGAAAATTATTATATTGAAATAAAATCTGATGCTTTTAAAAATTTTATTTGGTGTGTGTTGGAAGAGGGATAGTCTTATACGGTGAGTATATCCCAAACTATATTTTAACTGGAAAAGTTGGGGGTCGTCTTATACGTCCAGTCGTCTTATATGCCGGAATATACAGTACTATTCCTATAACCTAAAAGAAAACTTAGTAAAAATGATCCACAGATGGTATATCACACCTCAAAAGCTTTCAAAATTTTATAAAAATGTATCTGACAAGTGTTGGAAATGTGAACAACAAACAGGATCCTTCTTTCATACTTGGTGGTCTTGCCCAAAAGCCAAATAATTTTGGAGCGTGATTCATAACGATATACAAAGTATTCTTAAAATACAAACAAAAAAGTAACTAGAGTTCTTCCTGCTCGGAATGCTTGATTTTGAAGGAGACAGAAACAAGGACATTATTTTCAACTATTTAACCACTGCAGCCCGAATTGTATATGCAAAGAACTGGAGACAGAAAGAAATTTCTCAAAGAGAAGATTGGCAAAACAAAACACCGGAAATAATGAACATGGACGAACTAACCTATTGGCTGTCGCCAATTGAAGGAATTCCAAAGAAACATACAAATTGGAATTTAGTGAAAAGTTACTTTAAACAACAAAAAAGAAGTCATTTCTTGAAGGACAAAAATAGTAGTTAAAGAAGAATTAAAACAGGGAAGCAGTTCTGAACACTACTGTCAAAAAAATCTACAAAAGATCTTCAAAGAACAGATGGAAGTCCAACCAATTTTTTTCTTTTTCTTTTCCCTTCTCCTTTTTAATTAGGAGGGGTTCCGCACAGTGAAGGTATATTTTTGGTCTGTGCCTCGTGAGTTTTTTCCTTTTTTTTCTCTTCCCCTTTTCTGTTCCCCCTTCCCTGGCTCTACTTCATTTCCTACTTTTCTATCTCCTCCACAATATTCCCCCGCTTTCCATATAACCACACTATCTTTCAATAAGTAAAAGTTTTTTTAAATGAAAAAAAGGCTGCAAAACAAAAAAGGGAGGCTTCAATCTTGTCT